ATACCAGTTGGGTGATTGGGAGTCTTAGGGGATGATCTTCAGAAGGTTTGCATGTCTTGAAACACATGCAAATGTGTTTGTATTTGCAGAGATTATCAAAGAAGCTGCAAAGTGATTTGTGTTTGCTGATCAATTTCTAATTACCAAACTGCACAAATTCATGAGTGTTGAATATTTGATTGAGTTTATTTATATAGCACCAATTCACAAAACGTCATCTCATCTCAAGGTTATCTCAAAGCACCAGTATCCAAATCAGAAACTCAACTGTGACTGCAGTTTTTGCGTCTTTTTTTTCTCTGCTGTCATTGGGACCACTTGGTGGAGAGACATTCTGTGTGCATCTAAACATATACGTAGCATCAGAAATAACAATACTAAAAATGTATCACTAAACATTGCTTGGTAAGTAGCCAGAGTTGTTGTGCCTAAACCCAGCCTGCAAAGAGATATTTCCTCCTTCATACTCCAGAGTTTTCAAGGTAGAGAGAAGTTGGATGGGAATACTCACAAAATCCCAGCTGAATGTTTCAATTTTGGAGTTTTCTCCATGGGGCTGAAGGAGTTCTGACTGTTCTCTGTGCTTATGTACCAAACAGAATTAGAGTCTCTGGTTGGTGTTTAAAGCACTTGTCCCATCGGGGTTCAGTGCCATGCTTGGGGTACTTCAAGTAATGGTGTTACTTTGAGTGATTGGAAACCATGGCCTCCCTGATCTGAACCCAAGCAGTTTTTTGATGTTGGACTATTATGTGAGGCACAGCATGTCCATAAACAAACTTCATATTCATGCTGACCCATTAATGAAATCAGTACCAGACCACCAGCGGACAAAAATGGATAATAGATTTAGTTATTGTGTCTTGAGATCCATGATATATTCGGCAGTATCAATTAATATAACCTAACTAAATATTTGGCACCAGCTATTCCATTCATATAATTCACCAATTAGAGGGCATTTCTTTTGTAAACAAGCCAGTAAGAATTATGCCCAAACCTCCGGCTGGTCACATGCACCCAACTGATGGATGAGTTCATCCCAGGAGCAATGCAGTAGTTCAAATGTTGCAGGTGTGGTTTTTTTTTTTTTTTTTTTTTTTTTTTTTTTAGATTTAGAAACAAATAGCCAAGCTGCTTTTTGTCTGACTGCACAGAACAAGAGGGATAAAAATAGAAAGGTTCTGTAAGATCTAAGGGAAAAGAAATATCAGTATTGGATTTTGGGCAGTTGAGTTATAAAATACCAGCATATTGCATATCGGCCAAAAATGTTAGGGTTGTATTTTGACCAATAAAATAAGAAAATAATGAAGGGCTAGAAACACTTTTGCATAACACTGTAAATCTGGTTATTGTTAATGTGCAGATGGTTAAAGAGAGTAGCTGATTATAGGTTAAACCTTTTCTTTAAACTCCAAGGACAGCAGCTTTAAATGTTGTGTCCCTCAGGGCAGGCAGGTATGTTTGAGGACAAAGGACATGTTGGCGTAGGAGAGATGAGACCAGAGCAGAAAGAGCTTGAGGGAGGAGTTGACTCCTGGTTTAAATGCAGGTAGGGGTGAAATATAAGACAAATTAAAATTAATACCAAGTGAAATATTGCAGTTGAACCCTAATGTCTTGAAAATTTAACAAGAGAAAAAGTCAGGCTAGATGCTCCATCTCTGAAACACAATCCTGAGGCAGTGCATTCTTTATTCTACATGTGTGTATATATGCTCCTATACAAAGTTACAGAAAGCATGACTTGTTTCTTAACTGCAGGCTAGAAGCAGGTTCTGGAAAGAGCAGCTGGATTTTGGATAAGTATTGAGTGAATGACAGTAGAAGGAGGAGGTGCAGAAGAAGGATGGGATCCAAACAAATCATCTTCTACGAAAGTCTGCTGAGCTGAAGATATTATGCTGACAGACTCTGACGAGCTCTGAGCTGCAATCTTAATGCTGCAGGCCAAGCAGCCTGGAACTCCAGATAGTAGGTGTTTTTGCTCACATCTGTTTTCATCGTGCGTGAGAAAGTTTGGCATTAATTCACATCTTTGTTATTAGAGTTTCCGCTCCCACTGATAGGAGGCTGTGTTTATCTTCTCTCATGAACATAATGAGCTCAAAGACCAAGGATGCTTCCCTCAAGTGATACTAGTCTATGATTCCTTCCCCACTCGACTTTGGCTTTGTCTATCATCCTCCTGTGTGTGTCATTTTGTATTCAGTATGTTGCTATACATCAGTGTTGGCCCTCTCTTTCAGGGCCGTGTAGTGCTCTGCGTCTCACCCCGTGTCCATCATTCCCGCCTGTTTCGAATCAGGCATGCCTACCAGAGAGCTTCCTGCTAGAGAGAATTGATAAGGGGGAAATACAGTATGGAAGAAAAGGTTTCAGAAAGACAACCAGTGATAGAAAAAGATCCTAAAATAGTTCATAAGGTGGAAGTGTCAAATGTATGAATCTGATAAAGTCTTAAGAGTGGGAGAGGGAATTAAACCCAATGAGTTATGATGACCTGATGATCAGCTGAGGAAGAAGCTAAAGAGGAACCAAGTTTGACTGACTAGATGAGGTACAAAAGTTTGGATATGGTAGAGCTTTCACACACAGAGACTGGCATGTGGGTTTAGGTTGAAAGAACACAGTCCTGCTGTGAGAGGTGATGGACTGAAAGAGGAGTAACAGATTCTGTGCTGCACTACGACGTCGGCGCTCTCTGCTCCGTCGCATCCGAGCTCCTGCTTCCCCCCTCTATCTTATCTACACGAGCATTCATGCACCACATGTTATGTAGACAATCACACCACAACTGCACGCCAGGGCTAGATAAAGACTCATTCAGGTGATACTAGTAAGCACATGTCTTCTGTATCCGGATGAAAGATAAAGCATACGTAGAGAAACCATATAAAGGAATATGAAAGGAGGACAAAAAACAAAAGAGTCTATCTTTTATCAACCAGTCAGTAGTTATTGCATGAATGGCAAATAACAGCCAGTCTAAACATTTTATCATTATGTAACTTAAAACCTTCAGATGCAGTTTATAGGTTACCTTTTAGGTAAATGATCATTTTTGTTTTTGTTGTGAGTTAGAGTTAAGCTGTGCTTCTGTAGATAAAAATATCACCCATATAAAAAAAGCACCACTAAGCCAAACAGATAATATCTTTAAGGGATCATTCACCTACTCTGACAGAAGAGTCACCTTCTGTCTGTATATATTAATTGGTCACTTTTTGTCCGTATATATTAATTGGAGTCACCATATTTCCTTGAATTAACTTGTCAATCATCAAAATTTATTTAAAAATAATTAGTTTAAGAGGAATCAAAATGCCTAGGTTTAGATTAAAATGTAGCTGTTAAGAAGCGCTCAATGGCACAGTGCTCTTATTTTACACCAAAAATGTAAGGCACAAAAGAAAAGAGAAAAGCTGTTATGAATGGAATGGCATTCACCCAAGCAATGTTAACTTCATATTAGGTTCCATTGTAAAAAAAAAAAAAAGCAACAACCAAAAAACACAAATAAATATCCTACACTGACCTCCCTTAATGTAGACTGAGCCTGACATGGCTAACATTATTTCTCACTGATGGTTCTCAATGGAAGCTGCTTTCCTCGCTGTTAATATTCCCCTGCTTCTGCGTTTTTGGGTCAGTTTTCTGTTAAACTACCAATTAAACTGGTTGATGTGATTCCTGGTGGCCAGTTTCTCTGCTTCTGCACTCAAATGTTTTTTTCCAAGATCTTCTGCTATTGTTCTGTTTGCAGACTCAAGTATAGATTTTCAGAATAAAAAACAGCTATTAAAAAAGTAGTTTTCAATTCCAATGTATTTCATTTAAGCTGATTCAACTAACTTTATTGTCTAACAATGACACATAACAGTAAGTTAGCTAAAAGGAAGACATAATCCCAGTAAAATTGACACCAGATCAGACTAGTTACCTCATCTGGCATTTCAGTCAACAGTCAAGACCAAAACGCAAAAAAATAAAATAAAATTTGCTCGTGTCATTCTGTGAAGACTCCACTGCTGGGGCTCAAAGTTAAAACCGAAAACATTATCAGCCTTGGGTCCGAAATAAAAAAAAAATAAAAAAATAAAACAATAATTCTTAGCAGGAGTTGTTCATACCACTAGTATAAATAAACTAGATTGGGACTAACTTTTAAATTTGATCATTAGCTTTTTTATTCCTATTATTTTAATGTTTTGCAGTAGCCTTGGCAGCTAAAATTGAATAAAGAGTCTTTGGAACATGCTGAAGTTTAGGGTGATGGCAAAGAGGCCCTTTCACTTTCACCAAAGGTCTAAAAACACCAGCAGAAACATGCCATAAACCACTAAACTGATATTAGAAAGGCTTCATCACTGTAATGCAAACAAATATTATCCATTCATGTGTTTATATTAACTATTATTATGGGTATAGAGCATATTCTATGTGCACATTTTATTAACAGTTGATACTTAATTGCATAATTTTATTATCTTTAAGTCTCATCTACTGTCAGAAACAAACTACTTGTAACAATTAAAAATTTTTGAATCTAAATCTTGGAGGTATATAAAATATAATTCATTAAAAGTTAATTAATTTAATTAATTAACTAATTTATTAACTAATTTAATTAAAAGTAATTAATTAATAATAAATTTAATGTTAAATAAATATAGAAAGTCGATCAAGTCTCACATATAGAGCTTTCTAATGTTAATGTTGCGTTTAGAGATCTTAGTAAGGTTCCTTTCCCAGTGTGTGTTTGTTGTAGCAGCCGCAGGTATTTGTATGGCAGCTTGGTCGTGTCTGTATTTTGGCGGTGTAAGGCGGTCACTAATCTGTCTGACCTTCTGGCTCATTTGCATGCACCGCCCCTCCCCTGACTGAGAGATGCCATGACCTTTATTAGCTAATTAAGAAACATAACAGAAATAAACCTGACAGGGAGGGAATGGACATACACACAAACATATATGAAGACATGAGCACACACTCACAGCATGGTTGCTGGCAGAATGAGGATGGCAAGAAAAGCTCGAAGGGTGCTGGGGTCGAGGTTTAGAGGGGTGTTCCAGTCTGGAAAAGTAGACAAAAGTTTGGCATTCATCAACTCAAAAGCGCAACTGCAGTGATTTCCTGTAATGTTCTCGATAGCAGCCTGTGTGCTGGAGGAAGTGGTGTCGCACACACACACACATGCAGAGCGCAGAGTTGTCATCATTACATTTGCCAGCAGACATTCAAGCATTATAGTATTACAGAGGGAGTTTCTCTTAATCACATACTGAGCTTCTCTAAATCTTTGTGTGGTGGAATAAGAGAAGTAAATCTCTCCCTGTCTGCTGTCTGCTGCCACTTAAGTGTAGTCTTCCTCTTGTTCTCTCCTCCCTCTTCCACTAAGGACTCATAATAAGCTGTTCGACCCCTCAGGCTATAAGAGGATGAGTGTGTGTGTGTTCTTCCACACCACACAAACAGATAGACAGCAGCTGCAAAAATGAGCGTTTAAAAAGGAAAGCCAGAATGCATTTTGGAAGAACATAGTAAAGAAGACACAGCAAACAATTTGCAACAGCGACATTGAAGCACTAAATGTCAAGAATCACACAACCTGGGAGGAAGTAATGTTTTTTTTTTTTTTTTTTTTTTACAGCCTCCAGGTGTTTATGATATGTAACCTGCAGAACGAGCAGATTATCATCTGACATCCAGCTTTTTGAGGTTCGTTGGATTGCGCAATTGGCTCAGCACACAAACCTGCAGATACAATGGAAACACATGCACGCATACCTTTAATGCTGACGTTGAAAAAGAGTGATGGCTGACATACTTATATGAGCTTTTTTAGCACTTTTTCTGGAAATTTCCATAATATATAAATGATTATGAAGGGTACGTGCTGTTTCACAACACTGTTTTTTTTTTTAACAGACCTAAATTTTCAAACAGAAACGGTGTTAATAGATGCCTCAACAGATGCATCAAACACATGCTAAAGCTAATTATCGGTCTCCATACTCCCCCAGTCTGTTTCCAATCCGACTTCAGAGACGGCAAAAAATAAGGTGGGAGACGATCAAAAGCCAAATGAGAGAAACCAAGAAAGTTAGATGGATATGTAAAAGAAAAGGAAACTAAAGCATTGAAGGGTACAGCCTGTCTGTGCCTCAGTGTGACAGTCTGTTTGTGTCACCATGACAGGTCTGAAACAGTGGGCCAGTCCCGAATAGCTTTGTCCATGCTGCTGCACACAGGGGCTTCACACGCTGACAGACAGAGCCAAGGGCAGTCCTGTCCACCGCAAATCACAGCCTGACGGTCTGCTTCACTCCTCATGTTTTTACACCATGCACACGTAAAGCATGCTCATGTAGGGTAAATGCTCATATGACAGCTTGCATGAGAGTAGAATAATAAAAGAAGAAATCGAACAAAAAGAAATGATTTGATATTCACTCCCAAAATATGTGCAACATCTAAAAATTCTTTACTGCAAAGTAATAAATCCTCATTTTTGAAACATTCCTGTGAGGTTTTGTTGTAAATCAAAGCAATAAATTGCAGCATATTGTTTTGTTTGTGTGGTTTCAAGAAACATGATGAGTAAAGTGATTTTGTTAAAGCTTAACAATGTTCTGTTGCTTTTCCTCTTGCCTTAATCCAACATGTCTGCTTTAAACCTTGAGTATATATTTTCATGTTGATTTACACTTGCAGAATTATGTGGTTTCTCTTTTTACTTTTAACCACAGTTTCAAAATAACTGTAATTTTAGAATGAAACAAGCCCAAATAATCCGTTTCCTTTATTAAGAACCGATTCAAACCAGTTTTCATTGTTTGCTTACTGTCATATATGAGAAACCGTTCAAACAGGTGAATACAGTGTGACAAAAGTCCCATCCTGTAGGGTTTTTCCCTTCATCAAAGATGCTGGAATCAAGAGGAGGAGGATGAAAGAAGTGATACAGTCTAATTCTTAGTCATAAAAAAACTATACTGTGGCTTAAATTTACCATCAGTTTATTTCACATTGCACAAAGAGCTGTTCTTTCTTTGTGACTGTACAATCAGCCTCCATGAGTCAAAGGAAAATAATCTTTTAATCTATCCCTAAAATTACCTGTCCTTCAAAGGTCAGCTAAAGTAAAGGTCTCAAAATGATGTTTGCAACTGCATTTTGAAACTAACTTGTTGGAATCTTATCTGTGTTTTTAAGCAATATAACATCTAATGTGTTGAATATGGTAAATTTTTATAACTCCTATTTAAAAAGGAGAAAAAAATAAGATTAATAAGCAAAACAGATTAAATTGGTTTCTTATAACAGGATTGTCTTTATATGTGTTTTATCTTTGCCTGCATAAGGGCTTCTTCTGTTTGCATTGGCCTCTTTACCTCTGTCCTGTGATTTTTATCCACCTAACATAAAAAAAAATGCAACAACAAAAAGCTTTGAAGAGCTTTGGGCCACTACGATCAATCAGGGGAAAACAACACAAAGATCAGGCCTTTTCTGCTCCATAAAACAACCTTTAGACTTTAGAGCACCAGCAGCTATTTACTGTCTTAAGATGTGGATTTTTTTTCATCTTTTGAACATTTCTTCCTCTGTGTCTGCATACCTAGAGAAAAAATAAATAGCTGTTGACAGGAAATATGGTAATAATATCATATTATGATTTTGCTGTAAAATCACTATATCAGGATTGATTTAAGTTTTATTGATAGCAGTTGAAAATTGAAGCGACAACTAAAATTTCCTTTTCAACCTCTCTCAAGCTCTCTTCAAGCTAGAATATAAAATGCACTTGGAGTACCTAAATGCTTTCCGATTTCATGTTTTGTAAGTCAACATTAAATATTTTTTAAAGGAATTAAATCATATGAAGTAAAAAGGTTAGCAGAAAATTCTAAATGAATGGTATGCCTTTTTTATTTTGTTTAAGAAAGCAACCAAAACCTTTCTGGATTAGCTTGTTATTCATCGAGACGTATTTTAAATGATTTGTTCAAGAGGGGACAAAATGTCCTTAAAGTAGGTTTAGATTAACATGTAGTTGTTAAGAAATGCTCCATGGCACAGAAGAGAAAGAGAAAAGCTGTTATGAATGGAATGGCATTCACCAAAGCAATGTTAACTTCAAGCAATGTTTTTTTTTTTGTAAGATTTTTAAAAAATATACATCATGCAGTGCTGCTGTGGAGTGGAGGTGCAGCGCATGGCCCATATACCAGCCATTACAGGTCTGAGTCCTGATCTTGATGACCTCTGCCACGTCTCTCCCTTCTGATGTAACCCACTTTCCTGTCTGCATACTTTCAAAAAAATCACCACTAGAACCTAAAAAATAATCATTAAAAAAATACAAAAGTTATAATGTTCTAGCATAAATACCTTAATCATTGCTTGTGGACAATATGACTCAAACTCTTCAGTAAAACTCTCAAATTGTTGTTGATCCTTTAAAGAAAGTTTGATTATGTGTTTATCTAATGTTGGTTTGTGTTTTTCAAAATCTAAGCACCATTAAAAACTCAGTTTTCTTCAATTTAAAGTGTGTAAAAAAATTCTTGTTACTTATTACTTCATGTTTAAGCACTTTGCTTCGAACTTTATAAATTTCAGCATCACGGTACATTATAAGCTGTGCTAGTTTAAAGCCATTAGTGAAATCATACAGTCTTTCTGAAATTGACTTTTATTTTAAATAGTGTGTAAATTGGAAAAACACACAGGATATCAGAAAAGTGAGATCGATAAGGTCACATCCAAAAGGAATAATGTCTAAAATAATCCCAATACAGTAGATTCCAGAATTAAAGTGCCTCACTGACTAATTCAATTGAAATGTTTCTACTTTAACAACGCCTTAATTCTCCACCATTTATCATACAATATACGATCCTGCCATTTGGTCATCAGTGATCAATTCCATTTCAGTGTCTAAAACATTTCTGCTGGCCGAAGAAAACCACAGCTTTGATCTTAAAATGCTGCAGAAAAAAATCGTTTATTCAAACCGTGGACATCTGTAATGTTTGCTTTACTTATGGTCTATAATGCTGTATAAATATTTGATGGTTTCCTATAGTAGAGGGGCCTTAAATAGTTAAGGAAGTGCAGCATTACTTTGAGGCAGAAGATCAAGGAGAACCTTTACTAATGCTTTCACCGCACAGGGTCATTTATGATAGCGAAATACACACACGCACACCCACACAACATATACTGTATAGGATGCAGACTCTTATGGTGTCTTCCTGTGTCTGTGCAGCATTCGGTTTCACTCTCTCTGTGCTTCGTTTGCAGATGTTGATCATGTCCCGCTGAGTTTGCAGAGAAGAGACAGATTCTTTACATCTTTGAGACCACCGCTGCTACTCCCACACCGTACCTTATTACTGTTTGTCATAAACTGCAAAAAAGCTTGAGCTTTGTCTGCAGAACGCTGAAAACCTTCGAAAGCCTCCGTTAGATTATGATAATGCACTCTAAGACCAGATAAAACCTCTTTCTTAAGCTGTAACTTCCCAGTGGTTACTTTCAAGGAAACATGGTTGAATGTCGCAAAGATCAAATTCTCACACAGTGGGATTGTTTTGAAGTATAAAACCTTCACATTTTATCCCTTTTTTGACCCTAACATTAAAGTGTGCACATTTCTTTTTTAATTTGCACAGCTTTTAAAGTCACCTCGTCTTAGATGTTAACGTAATCAACCCTACAAAGCAAGACAGAGAAGGCTTTTCTTCTTCTAAAGCACATGCAGATGGTGGCTAATGTATGATTTTAACCTTTGCTATTCTAACCTCTGTCTATACCTTCTCCTTTGCACCAACACACACACACAAGCATGGCATACTAATCATATTGATCCACTTTTACAACGACAGCCCTGTTGACCCCCCCCCCCCCCCCCCCCCCCCCCCCCCCTCGCTCAAAATCAGTTTCAGTTGGCAGGAAATGCAAAGTCAAGCTGCATCATATGTCACACTTTTTTTCTGTTTCTCTGCTTTTGAGCAAACCTGCCACGGTTGCAGCTTGATTTTGCACAAATTAATTTGATAAATGAG